CAAGAATTGAGCTATCAAGAAAGCAGCTTTGATAGTCTTCCTTGTTTCTTGCTTTTCAAAAGTGACCAATAGGTCTATGTAGTCTTAAAATTGTTTGAATTTAAAAGTGGGATGTAAGTTCATATATTTTTTAGAATGTATGTATCTCTGTGATTTGCATGTTTGAATTTTATAGAAAATAAAATGAAATGTGAACTTTTGCCATAAAGACCAAATCTACTTGCATACTATGTACATCAATAACTGTAAAAAACTATTACTCTTTCAGGATTCAACACATACTATGTACATCAATAAATGTCAGAAATGATTACTCCTTCAGGATTCGACACATATTTTGTTACGTGTACTTCTGTCTTCAGATGTGTTTTCACGTATCTCTGGTTCTTGAACTTCTTAAAACTGCTATCACACTCAAAAATACTTTCAAGTCTATAACTGTATCGTTTGAAAAGTTCTTCAGCCGAATCTTATGGTTCGATGTAGAAAAACATATCTTAGCTACTTGCATTTGACACTTATAACCACATTATTTGTCAAACAACCTGAGTCAAAAATCATAGGCTAACAACTTGTCATAGAATCCTTGAACCCTTAGAGTCCCTTCTAGAATTTTGAGCCATTAATATAACAATTAAGGTGTATGGTCATTGTTTAATTAGTCTAGATTTTAAGGGGTCTAAATAATATTAAGTAAGTCTGTGGCTAAAACCATTTTTTTAATAAGCAACGAAATCGTATTTACGATATACTAGAAGTACGCCATTCCGAGTACATGAGTCTAACGATTACAAAGAAGTTCCACCTCTACAACCAACTATCCCATAAATATCATGAGAGGTAAGGTTATTGTGTAGATATCAAAATTTAATATCTAATTTGACAAATTAGAATATTGAAAACTAAGAAATAATCCTAGGGTAATTTATTGAGTTTGGGTCCTCATTTGTAAAGAGGACAAAAAAATACAATTCATCAGAATTCTCTCTTCATCTCCATCAAAAAAGATTCAAGAAGTCAGAAGAAACTCTACGAATCACAAGATCACATACCTACAAATCTTCAACGATCCCAATGACTAACTCAGGTACGCTCTTATTTTCATTCTCGGATTGAATTCTGGTATATATTTAAATAATATAAGTTGATGGGTTATCGACCCATAGATATTAGTTTAGAGTTATGTTCTTGATTTCTATGAGTAGAAATCATAAAGTCATGAACAAATTCAATAAGTAGTATCAGAAGCAGCAATATCTGATTCAATTTGTAGTTGAGATTATTTTAATATTAGTTTTTCAAAATTGGATTCCCTTTTGATCTGCTCGTTTTTGGGTAAGGTTCATGTCTTTTTATCATACTTCAAAATTTTGGTCTTAATTGATTAAAATGTATTTATAATATTTAATCATGTTGCCGTCAATATGTTTTAACAAGCAAAATTGTAACTGTACATGACCAAGTATGCTTAGAAATCAAATTCATGTGGTAACACATGTTGTAAGGTAACATGTTTTTTAAGATTGTGATGCATGACAATAACATGAATAACATAAGTTTACGTCAATATTCACATTAGGCTAGGTTGTTACATTTGTTGTAACACGGTCTGATAATATATAATAATTATTTTTATAATTAATAATATATATGGTTTAATGTCAAAATTTTAATGTTTTTTTAACCTTTTGTATAATTTGGAATTTCGGTGCTTTGTTGTGTTTCGGATAACAACGTAGATAGGGATTGGAACACAGTCAAGTTGTGATGATTTGCATGATCGTGTCCCTTGGTTATTTTATCCATCAATTTTGGTACATTTATGTTCAAATTTTGGCAACTGTTTTATTTTATACAATAGTTTAATATATTAAATGAGTCAATTAAAATAAAAAGTCACCAAAGCGACCTCTTTTATAGAGAATGCTCATGAGAAATGTTAAATATTTATTTATTCATTTTGTGTGCGTGTGTTTATCCATGCGAGTGTTAACTAACCCAAAGAACAATTGATGTTTGGCCGTATTTCATAATACTTGTGATGGTAAACATGTGAAATTAAATTTAACCATGTGGCATAGTCGTTTCTTATTGGCAACTAGGGACATCAGTAGGACACGTGATGGCCGACTTCGTCTTTCATCTGAAGTATTCTCTTGTAGCTATTTGGTTAGAATCATTTGCCTTACCTGCTAAGGGCTTAATTGTCATACCTCTTAGCTGCACGATGAGATCTTTATAGCCTTTCCTTTGTCCTTATTTTGGTCACATTGTAGAGAGTTATGTATCCTTTGTGCTCTAGATAGGTCAATGCATATTGTCACCAAATCATCATGGAGGTTGTGATACTTCAGTTTGAGATGGACTAGGGACGTGGATGCATCCAACATTGTAAAATACCTGCCTATAATACATTTATAAATATGCTCTTGCAGGGAACCACTTGTTGATCACCATAGTAGATGTACTCAGTAAGTCTCCCCTTCTTAATCAACTCTTCTATCGCATCGTTCAAATGAAAACATTCATTTGTGTTGTGGCAATGACTATTTAGAATTTTCTATCTTAAACGATTATTTGACCGCGTAGGGATTTCATATTCATACTTCCCTGAACTTAGTTTTCACACACTATTTTTAAATTCTATCACTCAAAGTGTTCATGAGAGTGGATACGTTGAACCTGGATCAGAACCTGCGATCTTCGTCTACTCTATGACGCTCTTTATCGATTTCTAGTGTCCGACTATATCCAAAGTTTCCTGCTCCCCGACCTCTCTCTCCCTCTTCTGCAAAATGTTCTTCTTCATAACTTATATGGGGACAAGCCTTATTCAACAAATCACTTGGATTACAAGCTCCCTCAAGCCCTAACTTTTCTAAAAATATGCAATTCGATTTTAACCCCTTCTTGAACATCCAACATTTTAGCTTGTCATCTGTTCCCTATATTGCTACCGCGACTTTTGTGAAATGTCAATACACTCGCACATGGTTTCCTTTTTTTCTTGAGTGACCCCGTTGAGTATAGACATGGTTGTGGATTTCCTCTTTCGAAAGGTAAACATGGTTTTAAAGGCATCACACAGGTTCTTCCACGAATATATAGTCACATTTAGAAGGGTTTTGAATCATATCACTATGGCTTCGGGCAAGGTTTATTTGAAGAGCTTGCACTTCACTGCCCCTTAGGCATGGTAGTAATCCAACATGTTATCTACGTACTCAACACGGCCTGATTGCCTTGGGAAGCTGCCTCTCGTACAATATTGTCCCTTGGTGGAGCGTATTGAAAGTTCTTTTCAATTTTGAGTATTCTTTCAGCCATGAATTATGAGTTCTACCAGTGCACCAGATTGTAGACGTCATTCAACCAATTTGTGAATCCATTTACTCCAAGATTCAATTATAACAACTGAAGGCTCGAGAGAATTTCTTGTCTAAGTATAATAGGTAGCAGAGGAGGTTATTGCGATGGTTCACCTTGGTGAGACTGTTGTATCGATCTGAAGAACAAGAAAGCTTGGAACATTCCATTACTAACTCTTGGAAGAGCATAATCTTATTGAGTAGGTTCAAATGGAGATACCATCAGAACTCGATCGTCTTGTATCGCTAGAGGAGAAGGAAGATACAAAGCTTTGGCAGTCTCAGCGGTAACAACAACAACATGTCATAGAACGGTGGATCGAGTTATTTTGGATGTCACCATGTTTGATGATTATGATGATACCTGTTCAAGGAAGAGGTTGAAACTTCAAGAAAAGAGATCAAAAATCTGGATCTTCGATGGAGAAACAATGATTTTTCGTGAAAATATGCATAATCAGAATTCAATTCTCAGACACCGCCATTGTTCAGTTAGGAACTAGAAATGAGAGGCAAGGTAATGAGGTTGTGTTTTGTTGCGGTTGATAAATACTTTCGATATAACACATATGAGGTTGATCTTTATGATTAGCATTCCAACTCCTATGTCAGTAAAAAAATCAGATGTAATGTGTGAGTGCGAATTAATTTGAATATCTAAAATAACACGTTTTATCCATATATACGAAAAAAACAATTGAATCTACTTGCATATGATATGGCGTATTGTGCAAACAATCGTCAAGTTGAATCGGACGACGATTGATACGTTGAAGCGCGAAATCACCTGCTTCTAGTTAAAATGAAAGTTTACCTACTTTATATGCCTTTCAATTCGAGCTTCACTGTTGAAAAATTAACATGTCAACCCTACAGTTAAACATAACACCCCACATTGTAACTGCTATTATTTTTATACCCTTACTACAAACCTTTAAACCTGCTATTATTAAAAAAAAAACTTTAAGAAAAGAAAATCTAAAAATTAAAAAAACAAAATTTATACTCTGAAAATTTTGAAATTTTCAATAAACTAAAGAACTTTTCGAATTTTCTAATAAAATACATAAAAATTTAGTATCAGAAATTTAAAAATGAACTACCAAAATTTTAAATTAATTATCAAAAATTTGTAATTTTTATTTAAATTTTTTCATAAATAATTTGAAAATTTATACAAATATGTGGGGTATAAATTTAATAGTTAGTGGCAGCTCTTCACTTTTGGATACTTTTCTATAGACCTTGGGACCAGAACAAGTTTAATAGTTATATATTTTTCTAGCCACTAAAAAACTCTTTAAATAATTGAGATCTAATGAGTCATATTTTTCTGTCTATATAAATTTTAATAGTTATCCTACCGAACAAAAACAGTAATCTTGATCTAAACCGAACAACCTCGAAGAAATACTCTAGTTATAACATACAAGAATATACAGTAATAAATAAACAAACAAAATACAATAATTTTTGTCTTCAAACAAGATTCGATGGACGCGTAGAAAAAGATGGGACATGGTTTTGTACATGTGTTTCATTACAAGGCACCACAAAGACACGTAGAACGAGTCTTCACCACTATATAAACAAGTAGCATACATGCATGCATGCAATTATTAATCATCAATAATGGCTTCCATTCAAACCCAAATGCTCTCATTCTATGCGATATTTCTATCCATTCTCTTAACAACAATCCTTTTCTTCAAGGTGAACTCAACCGAAACCACTTCCTTCCTGATCACCAAGTTTGGTCCAGATCAACAAAACCTAATCTTCCAAGGAGATGGCTATACCACCAAAGAGAAGCTGACACTGACCAAAGCAGTCAAGAACACTGTTGGCAGAGCTCTCTACTCCTCACCTATCCATATCTGGGATAGCACTACAGGCAACGTTGCTAACTTCGTAACTTCCTTCACTTTTGTCATAAATGCACCCAACAGTTACAACGTTGCAGACGGGTTCACGTTCTTCATCGCACCAGTGGATACTAAGCCGCAGACTGGCGGTGGATATCTCGGAGTTTTCAATAGCAAAGATTATGATAAAACTAGCCAAACCGTTGCTGTGGAGTTTGACACTTTCTATAATGCGGCTTGGGATCCAAGCAACCGAGACAGACATATTGGAATCGATGTTAACAGTATCAAATCCATAAATACGGTGTCGTGGAAGTTGCAGAATGGTGCAGAGGCTAATGTTGTGATAGCTTTCAATGCTGCTACTAATGTGTTAACTGTTAGTTTAACTTATCCTAATTCACTTGAGGAAGAGAATGTAACTAGTTATACTCTTAACGAAGTTGTGCCTTTGAAGGATGTTGTTCCTGAGTGGGTAAGGATTGGTTTCTCAGCTACCACTGGAGCAGAATTTGCAGCACATGAAGTTCTTTCATGGTCTTTTCATTCTGAGTTGGGCGGAACTTCAGCTTCTAAGCAAGCTGCAGATGCGTAGTTTTTAGCTTCTCATCGTCATGCATGTCAAGTCATGTGTGACAGATCTTGTTTCTATAAATAAACTGCACAGGTAGATGTACGTGTATGCAGTATGAGTTGGGCGGAACTTCAGCTTCTAAGCAAGCTGCAGATGCGTAGTTTTTAGCTCCTCATCGTCATGCATGTCAAGTCATGTGTGACAGATCTTGTTTCTATAAATAAACTGCACATGTAGATGTACGTGTATGCAGTATTTGTAATGTTTTATGTATGTTACTTGCGTTTATTAATTAATGCGTTTATTAAATATGATTTCGCCAAATACGAAACAAAAAATGCTTAAGATTGAAACCTACGTATATGAAAAATAAATAGATAAAAAACAGTGATGACTAGTATATATAGTGCCGAATACAGCACATTCTTGGCAATTGGGATGCATGCTCCGGGGTAGAGCCACCTTGTTTTGTACTAAGGGGTTCATGTGCACCTCTTCAACATTTTGGATTTACACGTTATACATTATTTTATGTTTTGTTTAGCTGGCACCTCTTAAATATACGGACTCTGTTGTTATTTTTTTTTTATAATTTTGTCGATTTTATATAGATTTATATGTGAAGGAAACATTTCAATCATTCACATCACAGTGACAATGATGTTTTTGTAAGGGTGTTAAGACGGAGATATAATTATTTATTCTTTTACATGCATGATAAAAAGATATGTTACATTTACTTTTATATTATCCAAGGTTAATTAGGATGAGTTACGTTAATGGACAGATTGTTTGCAATAGAAGATGTTTGCAATAGAAGAATGGCTCTCAATGCTGGTGTTTGGATAAAGGAGAATTCGACCATTGCCCTATATTGATTTTCCAAGACCTTTGAATTGGGGAGTGAGAGTCACATGACAAATTTGAATGGTCAAATTGAAATATCAGTGCTTTCTCCAAAAAGAAATTATATTTAAAAGAGATGCATTGTATTTGATACAACAAATACAATATTAGATACTCTAAAAAAAAAAAAAGCTAATTATGCATTGTATTTGTATACAACAAATACAATATTAGATACTAAAAAAAGCTCCGTTGTGAATGTTATTATAAATTACGATAAAATTTAATATTAATTTGTGAGACAAAGAACAATAGCGATCAAAATAAATAGTTTTAGTAATAATAATTCTGTATACAGATAATATAGCAGAATAAAGTAGAAAAAAATCGAAGGTTTGTTTACTCAATTCAATCAAATTAAAGGGGAGAACAGCTCTCCAATTCACTATACTTAAAAAGTTGTTATAAGAGATTATAAATGAGTTACAAGAAAATAGCATTCGCCCTCAGTTTCCAAGAACAACCCTATTTTCTACCCAAGTATTTCTCTATCTCTCCAATTCTCAATATATGAATCATTCAAATCCAATGTGTAAATTAAAGTTTATCCAAGGTTTTCTTTGTGCATAGCTGAAACCCTATGATATACCTTTAAACCTTTGGTCTTCTTTGTTGGTAAAAACTCTAAGATTGTCACACATCAAACATATAAGAGTTACATATTTATAATAGCAAATACCAAACAAACAAAGCACAAAATCACATGGATCTATGGACCGAATTGAAAAAGGCCGAAAATATGAAAAACACTATTCATCGTTCGGACAACAATATTCACCGTACGAACGTCACTATTCATCCGTTCGGATAGCACTATTCACCGCCCGAATTTTTTCTCTCGATTTTTCATCCGATTTTCGCGGTAAATGCAATCTCCAAAATATGTTTTCTTTCTCTTCATCAACAAAGGTTTTAAGACACATTTACAACAATCTTCACCTTGATTTTAAACCGTGTTGATACTAATTTAACAATCAACAACATTGATGCTCTCTACCAAGTTGAAACTTTAATAAATAATTTTGATCAAATTCAAGCAATCCTTGAGTCTTGATCTCGCAACTTGCATCCACTTATTCCCAATTACCCTTTTCTGCCTAGGTAATTTAACAAGCCTACAAGTATGATTTTTCAACCACCCTTAACTCCACCTGTTTTCAAATGCCTCTCTGAAGGTTTTTCTTCTTTTATTTTGTAGTCCTTCAGTCACATTAAAAACATAATATTTAAGGCTAGCATCAATGTCCCTTTGAGATGCTACAATAACCGTCCTTACCTTATCACGAGTCAAATGATAATCAGATATCTCTGTAACTGTTCCCTTACTACTTCTAGCATCCATAGTAGGAAACTACACCTCAAACTGAGTTTTCTCCATTATAGTTTCTCCCAGGTTTCTCCTTTGGTTTTCACTATTCTTCTTCTGAAGAAATTCTCTACCAACCAAGTAAGTTGTCTTAACCTCAACTCTTCCTCAAAAACTCAATAACAACTCAACGGTAACATGCATTTTTATCCCTTGATTTCTGCAAAATTTATTGTACTCCTCTAAAACTTTCTTAAGGCATTCATAACGTCTTAAACTCAAATCCCATAGCTCTTCCTTGTCATGAAAGCCTCCACTAGTTAACGATGAATGAATAATAACATTTGAACCTTCTAAAATATATAGACCACATATTTTAGACCCTTTACAAATAATCAATTCATCACGCGAAATATTTAACACTCCACGTTCAACTCTAGCACAATAGCCTAGGTCATCAAACATTCTTATAGATAACAAATTTCACCTGAGTTCGGGAACATACCCCACATTGTGAATAAGAAGTTCACGATCATTAAACATTTTAAATTTGACCGTACTGATACCATGAACCTTGCATGCCTTATTATTACCAAGGTGAACTACTCCACATTGCACCATCTTCAAAGTATTCTATTCTTGGACACATGTGATAAGAGCAACCTGAGTCAATGACCTAAATATCTTCAGTTTCCGAACTCGATACTACTAATGCTTCGACATCCTCATAACTTTCTCCACCTAATGCAACTAGAGCTTGAACAGAATCTTCATTGAACTTTCTTTCAGGACAATCTCTTTTAAAGTGACCGATTTTATGACAATTAACACATTTTACCTTTGACTTGTCAAACCTCTTTGATTTGGACATCCCTTTACGCTCACCTCCTCCTCTTGACACATTTAAGCCTTCACCACTATCTTCAATCTTTAAATCATTCGACTTTGAAAATTCTTTAGATTTCACCGCCATCTGGACTTCATTCCAACTAATAGTACATTCCTTACCATAAAGAAGAGCATCCTTAAAGTGCTCAAAGGATCTGGGTAATGAACTCAACAGAAGCAAAACCTTGTTCTCATCATCAATCTTCACTTCAATATTCTCAAGATCATCGATAATCTTGTGAAATTCTATGAGCTTCTTAACTATGGATTTCTTCTCCACCATCGGAATGAATATAGTTGTTATTTCAAATACAACCTACGAGCCAAAGGCTTTGTCATATACAATGATTCAAATTTTTCCCACATAGCAACCGTAGTTTGCTCCATGGCGACTTCTCTTAGAACTTTATCCCCGAGGCACAAGATAATGACACTCCTTGCCTTATCCACCATCTCAGTCTTCTGCACCTGTGTAAGCTCTGCAGGCATCAATGCTTCACTCTTCAAAGCATCGATACACTTCTCCTGAATTAAATTTTCTTGCATCTTAATTTTCCATAACCCGAAGTCGTTGTTACCGGAAAATTTCTCGATCTGCCATCTATTAACCATGGTGCTCACTTGTCAACAATATTTCTTTGCTCCACGCTCACAACACCACTTATTTTGAATCTTGTTGTGAATTACGATAAAATTCAATATCAATTTGTGAGGAAAAGAACAATAGCAACCAAAATAAATGGTCTTCAACAATAATAATTCGTGCACAAATAATATAAGAGAATAACGCAAGAAAAAACTGAAGGTTTGTTTACCTAGTTTGATCAAACGATCTACTCTAGGGGAGAGAGCAGCTCTCCAATTTACTATACTCAGAAAGTTGTTACAAGAGATTACAGATGAGTTACAAGAAAATAACATTCGCCTACAGGTTCCCAAGAATAACCCTATTTCCTACCCAAGTGTTTCCATACCTCTCCAACTCTCAATATATGAATCACTCAAATCCAAGGTGTAATCCAAGGTTTATCCAAAGTTTTCTTTGTGCATAGCTGAAACCTTATGCTATACCTTTAAACCTTGGTCTCCCTTGTTGGTGAAAACTCTAAGATTGTCACACACCAAGCATGTAAGAGTTACGTATTTATAATAGGAAATACCCAACAAACAAAACACAAAATCACATGGATCCATGGACGAAATAAAAAAAGCCCGAAAACATGAGAACACTATTCACCATACGGACGTCACTATTCATCCGTACAGATAGCACTATTCACCATACGGATGACACTATTCACCGCCCAAATTTTTTTTCTCGACTTTTCGTCCGACTTTCTAAAACTTCCTATTTTTGCGGTAAATGCGATCTCCAAAATATGTTTTCTTTCTCTTCATCAACAAAGGTTTTAAGGCACATTTACAACAGTTACTTTTCAAACAAATAATGCTCATTTTATCTATAATACCCTTAATTATTTAGTACATTTATTTCATATTTTCTCTCTCTGTAATAAATTCTTAGGGGTATTTTTGACAAAAGTGTAATTAATACTACCTTGAACTTTGTAAGTGACAATTAAAAAGAAATAAAAAATTATTTAGAAAGTGACACTTAAAAAGGAACTGAGGGTGTACTAGGAAGAAAATAAAATTTGAGTATTAATATAAATAGAGTTAATTAATTTTATTTTTCTACACAAACAACAATTTTTTGGATGTATTGGAGATTTTGGTAGTTGTGTGTTTGGAGAAGGTTTTCTATTTTTCCGTTCAAAATAATTTGTTGAGAGAGTTTTCTATTTTTCCACTAAAAAATAGTTTGTTGAGAGAGTTTTTAATTTTTTTCGTTTAATATTTGTAGTTGAGAGAGAGTTTGTAATTTTTTCATTCAAAAATTGTAGTTTGGAGGGTTTAAAAT